TTCATGAGAGAGAGAGAGAGAGAAGCAGAGGGAGAAGCAGGCTCTCAAGAAGCAGGGAGCCCGATGAAGGACTCGATCCCAGGACCCTGGGATCATGACCTGAGCCGAAGGCAGGCGCTTAACCATCTGAGCCACCCAGGTGCCTGCCCCATTTTTTTTTTTTTTAAGTTTATTTTTTTTTTTAAGTAATCTCTACACCCAACTTGGGGCTTGAACTCAAGGCCCTGAGATCAAGAGTCCAGCACTCTTCCAACTGAGCCAGCCAGATGCCCCAAGTGGGGAGTCCTTTTAGATGAACTTTTTAGGTTTCAACGCCTCTAGGCCTTTAAAAAATACTGGCCAGGGCTTGAGTGCAAGGTCTTGGGGGAGGGGGTCGGGCAGCAGCAGTTGGGATTAGCTAGATGTAGAGGAGGTGGAGAGAAAGACAGGGAGAAGCGGAGGCTAAGGCAGAGTTAGGCAGGGCGGAAGCCTGAGCCTTGGGACATGGAGGACATGGACAACACGGATGGGGTTGGGCTGGAGGGTTGGCTAGCAGGATCCTGTCCTGGGGCTGGGGGGGGGGGTGGGGGGGTCGGGGGGGATGGGAACACCATGAGGCCAGCTCAGCCCAGGCCGCTGAGTTTGCCACCAACTCCCTCCCAGGATGCCAGCACACCAAGTAGAGAAACCAGTTAAAAACCAATTAACTCTGCAGTCTATTTATTGTACCAGCAGTAATGGCGGTAGTATGTTGGTAAAAAAGTGGTGCTTTTCCCAGCTTTACTGAGGTATGGCTGACAAAGAAATGAAGTGTTAAATGTACAATTCTTTCTCAGGGCTCCTTCTGAGCAGCGGGCCGAACTGACTTGGAGGCGTTGGAGCGGAGTATGCCTGGGAACTGGAGAAAGACTGCTCAAGGCACGTTTCTCTCACAAAGAGCCTGCACGCTGACCTTGCTAAGTACATGCTACCCCACAACCAGTGTTTTTTTGTTAATACCCTTTCCAGCAGTAGGAAAATCACGATGGTGGGGTAGGGATAGACTGGTTTGGTTTATTCTCCTTGAGGTTTTGCCGTAGGTATCCCAACATATGCAGTAATTTTATTTTATTTTATTTATTTATTTATTAAGATTTTATTTATTTATTTGACAGAGACATAGTGAGAGCAGGAACACAAGCAGCGGGAGTGGGAGAGGGAGAAGCAGGCTTCCCGCCAAGGAGGGAGCCCAATGCGGGACTCGATACCAGGACCCTGGGATCATGACCTGAGCCGAAGGCAGCCGCTTAACGACTGAGCCACCCAGGCGCCCTGCAGTAAATTTTAAATAAGATAAGGGGACAACAGAAATGCCTAAGAACTTGACCACACCTTAGGTGAAGTGTCTACCACTTACTAGCCTCTTTAAAACTGGGCAAGTCCCCTAGCTCCTCTGGGCCCCAGTATGCTCACCCTCTCCCCTACCGTTTCGCTTGGCTTCCTATAAGACAGGGAAACGAAAGCACTTTGATAAGTCTAAGTCCCATATACCTGTGTCCGACATTTTGGAAACAAAAGTTATTACTGCCATGATTCAATGTCAGGGCCATGTTTTAGTTCTTTGGGTGTTTTCTTTCTTCCTTTTTTAAAAACAATAAATAAATAAACTATTTTAGAACAGTTTACATTTACAGGAAAAGTTGAGAAGATAATTTCTACATACCTCCAACCCAGGTTCCCCTGTGATGAACATCTTGCATTACATGGTTATGTTTGTCATGATTAATGAACCAGCATTGATCTATTATTATTAACTAAATTCATATTTTGTTCAGAATTCCTCAGTTTTCCCCTAATGTCCTCTTTCAGCTCCAGAATCCCATCCAGCATACCATGTTACTTACATTCATTTGCCATTCTCCTCAGGCTCCTCTTGACCCTTGGCAGTTTTTCAGACTTTCCTTGTTCCTGATGACCTTGACAGTTTGGAGGAGTACTGGGCAGGCAATTCATAGAATGTCTCTCTGATGGAAATTTTCTGACGTTTTTCTTCTGATTAGACTGGAGTTCTAGTAGGGAAGACCACAGAGGAAAAATGCCATTCTCATTACATCATATCAAGGGTACATACTATCAACTTGGCTTATCGATGCTGATCTTCGTCTTGATCACCTGGTTGAAGGAGTGTTTGTCAGGATTCTCCACTGTGAAGTTACTCTTTCTCCCCCCACCTTTTTCATACTGTCCTCTTTGGAAGGAAGTCACTATGCACAGTCCACCCTGAAGGAGTTGGGGGTTATGCTCCTCCTGGAGGTTCTACATACATTATTTGGAATTTTCCGCAGGAGGTTTGCCTATGATTGCCTATTTATTTATGTACTCAATCATTTATTTATATCAGAATAGACTCGTGGATATTTATGTTATACTTTGGGTTATAATCCAATACTTCTTAATTTTGTTGCTCAACTTTTTCCAGATTTCGCCTTTGGAAACTCTTTCAGTTAGTTGGCTCTGTGTCCGTTTGATGTACCTCCATCTTCCCTTTGTTTTGTTTAGGACTTCCTTACTTTCTGTACCACAGAATGCTCCAGGCTCATTTTGTATATTTCCTGCCTCAGTCCTTGAATCAAACATTTCTCTAAGGAGAATGTTAGGGCCAAGTTTTAATCTTTGCAAATGTGTGTCTGGCTGGAAGTTAGGATAGATGATCTGTCAGGTGGGCAGGAGTAAGACTCAACCCACCATTAGGAGGGGACTTTCCCAGCAGTAGCAGCTACAATTGCAAGTCCTTAGCTGAGAAACAGGTGACTCACCAGCTCCCAGAGTTGTCTCCACCCTCCCGTTCTTGCTGGCATGACTGTCCCTAAACCAGCTCAGACAGAGGGACCTAGGTTGGAAAGTGTCCCCACCCATGGGGCCTGTCGCAGGCCAAGTCAGGGCTTTTCCCCATGCCAGCAGACACCTCCCCCCATTTGTGTATTATTTATGTATACCCTTCATAACTGCAGAAAGGATTAAACAAGATTACCCTCAAATTTACAGCTACAATAAAACTATTATTAAAACTTGGGTAAAAGGACAAGAGTTCTGTGAAGAAGAGCCTCTACGTGTGTGTGTGTGTGTGTGTGTGTGTGTGTCTAGTAATTTTGTCCCAGACACCTGGTTCCCTGAATCACAGATTGCTAGCACCAGAAGGGCTTTCAGAAATAAACGGGCTTCACCTGTCATTCTATCATGCTAAGATGGATCAGGTAATTTCTCAGGAGTCACAAAGCTAATGAGCTGAAGAACTAGGAATACTAGAACAGGTGTCTTGATGTACAGGTCTTTTCAAATCCCCATTCTTGCCTCCCTTTCCAGGAGAGCAAAAAGAACAGCTTTTGCACCTCCTGTGGGAGACAACAGCAAGACAACATTTTGGGGCCTCTTCCATTTGCTAAATGAATAAACTTATGTGGATAAGTCTGAGAAGTCTTTGGGGCTATAATCTGGGATTATTAGTATCCCCAGATACTTGGATGTAGGGAATGTAGGATGTAGACACTGGGATATAGAAGTGGATATTGGAGAGGATCCTACCATTTCCCACAGTCAAGATTTTAACAGTTAAGTCAGCAACTTTCTAGGTGTTGTCCTCAATTTTTGACAAGGAAAGAAGGAAGGAAAAATAAAAATCATGGATCCTGAGACTTTTTCCAAGAGATTTAGAGATTTGGATTTATGGATTTTTTTTATACTACCAATTGTTTAAGAAATGGATTATCTCTTTTCTTTAATATTCACTGCCTCCTCCCCTCCCAACACTCTCCCTGCAACAACTCAAGAAGGAGGTGTTTTCAACCATCTTTGTACAGGCTGAGATGAAAGACTGGCTTGGAATTCAGAGAAAGGATCCTGGGCCTGGTGTCACTTGATGTGGCTGCAAAAAAAGATGAAATTAGCTCTCTTGGGTGACCTTCCTAGAGCTACCTTGCATATCTTGTCTCAGTCTGTAAACTCTTTCTGGGGCAAGGACAGTGGGTGGCCCAGAACAGCATCAGCAAATAGGTAATTACTATGTGCTTTTGATGATGATGATGAAGATAATATTTGGGGATTTAGAAAATACTCAAATGGAGAATTGTCCTTGGTGATCCTCTCCAGCTAGACTCTCCAGCACCCCAAATTCCTTTAGCGGAGTATAGTGAAGGTGTTTAAGGTCTGCCTCCAGGCCTAATCTAGAGGAAGCTCTTCCCTGGGAGTACAGTAAATTCCTGCTTGATGTGTTCATGCTTGAGTTTATCTTCTCTTTATGATCTATATTTTTTTTTTTAGATTTTTTTTTTTTTGAAAGTAATCTCTAAGTAACCCAACATGGGGCTTGAACTTACATCCCTGAGATCAAGAGTTGAAGGCTCTAGGGACCGAGGCAGCCAGGTGCCCCCAAGATCTATATATATATATTTTTTAAGATTTTATTTATTTATTCATGAGAGAGAGAGAGAGAGAGAGGTAGAGGGAGAAGCAGGCTCCCAAGGAGCAGGGAGCCCGATGCGGGACTCGATCCCAACACCCTGGGATCATGACCTGAGCTGAAGGCAGACGCTTAACCATCTGAGCCACCCAGGCGCCCAAGATCTATATATTTTTAAAAATCATTTTTTAATTAAGAACATTATTATCCAGACTCTCATACTCGTGCAAACATATATCTAGTTTTTCATTTTGAACAAAGGTTTAATTTGAACAGGCTGTATTATGTGTGTTGCAACTTGCTTCTTCCTCCTAACAATAAATCCTGGATAGCTTTCTCCGCCAAGATACCTAAATCTGCCTCATTTTGGCGATTCTTTGTCCTTGTACCTGCGTGATTCTCTGAGCGCCCGTTTTCCTTTGGCCTCTCTTCCTCCCGGCGTTTGTGATTGCCTGGCCTCATGGGGTGCACTGCGGAGGGAGGCGGGGCAGGAGGCCCAGCGGGTGGGCGGGGTCCGAGGCCGCTCGGGACATGCAGATGAGGTGGGCGTGGCCCCACTTATACCCGGGGTTAGCGGCGGGCCTTGGCGGACTCAGTCAGAGGCACCCTGCGGTATCTGCTTTCCGGAGCACAGCGGAGCCTGGTCCCGGGCTGCTCCCGGAGCGGGCCATGCCCCCGCGGGAGCTGAGCGAGGCCGAGTCGTCCCCGCTCCGGGCCCCGACCCCTCCGCCGCGGCGGGGCAGCGCACCCCCGGAGCTGGGCATCAAGTGCGTGCTGGTGGGCGACGGCGCCGTGGGCAAGAGCAGCCTCATCGTCAGCTACACCTGCAATGGGTACCCCGCGCGCTACCGGCCCACAGCGCTGGACACCTTCTCCGGTACGTTCAACGGCCCCGGCGGCCGCGTGGCTGGGGGTGGGGTGGTGCACCCGTCGTCGGCTGGGGCTGGCGCGGGGGCGGGAGGGCGAGGGAGCCCCCCGGGAGGGAGGCGGGAGCGGGCCCCGAGGTGGCGCTGGTGAGGTCCGGTGGGGCCCAGGACGCTCTTCCTAACTCGCTGTCCCCCCACGCCCTGACCCTGCAGTGCAAGTCCTGGTGGATGGAGCGCCGGTGCGCATTGAGCTCTGGGACACAGCGGGACAGGTAAGAAATGGGGGGCGGCCTCTAATGGTCTGGGAGAAGGTGGGCTGGAGGCTGGGAGGACCCTAGATGGATAAGGAATGGAGAAGGTCTTGGGCCCTTCCGAGTCTCAGGTCTGCAACCCCAGGTGACAATCAAATTCCCATTACTTGTGGCAGGGAATAACCCTACTAATGATCAGGCCTTCTCATCCTAGGAAGATTTTGACCGCCTTCGCTCCCTCTGCTACCCGGATACCGATGTCTTCCTGGCCTGCTTCAGCGTGGTGCAGCCCAGCTCTTTCCAGAACATCACAGAGAAATGGCTGCCGGAGATCCGCACTCACAACCCCCAGGCACCCGTGCTGCTGGTGGGTACGCAGGCCGACCTGAGGGACGATGTCAATGTACTGATTCAGCTGGACCAGGGGGGCCGGGAGGGCCCCGTGCCCCAACCCCAGGCTCAGGGTCTAGCCGAGAAAATCCGAGCCTCCTGCTACCTCGAGTGCTCCGCCTTGACGCAGAAGAACTTGAAAGAGGTGTTTGACTCGGCTATTCTCAGTGCCATTGAACACAAAGCACGGCTGGAGAAGAAACTGAATGCCAAAGGTGTTCGTACCCTTTCCCGCTGCCGCTGGAAGAAGTTCTTTTGCTTTGTTTGAACAGCCATGGCAGCTAGGGAGCAGTAGGCCTAAGACCACAGACTTCTGGAAACTGGAGCCTTTGAGGAGGGTACTGGCAGGGCCAGGCCGCCCCATGGGATTCAGTTCCCATCTGAACACTGTGAGGACACAGGCCTCTAACTGCCCACTCTCATATGCAAGGGGCTGTGATTTGGATCTCTGGTCAAGGCTCACAGAGAAATCCCAGCACTTGGATTTTCGTGGGGTGGTCCTAACAGTGCCAGCCACCTCCACGCAGTTAGGGATCCAATTCCTAGTTTCTTACCATGAGCCCTCAGGTCAGCCTGGCTGAATTAGGACCCCTTGTGGTGGTCCCCGCCTTGCCACAGGGCGGGGGAGGAAGAGCCAGGCAGTTTGGGGCAGGAGGGTGTCCAGCCCTGATTTGGAGAGCAGTTCGGGATGAACTGGGTAAGACAGAGGTCAAGGAGAGACTGAGAGGGAGCAGAAAGTGAGGCCTTGGAGCCTTGGGACAGGAGGCAGGCTGGTGAGGAGGCAGGTCGGAAGTCTAGGTTTGGAAGGAGGAAGAGCAAGGAGAGCAGAAAAGTGGCGCAGCTGAGGAGCAAGGCTGACACCTGGGCTGCCCTCGGCCCCCAGGGCCCGGGAGGGCGGGGCTGGTCCCTGGGAAGAACTGGGGCTCAGGGCTCCCTAGGCACTGCCCAAACTGGCTGGGCCAGGAGCAGGGCAGGAAGCGAAAGGCAAGGCCCACCCGGAGGAGGGGGAGGAGCTGCGACCTAGAGCCTGGAGGAAGAAGGGGCTGGGGTCACCTTTCTCCAAGGCCATAGCCTAGAAGGTAGAGCAGTGCAGAATCTACAAATAAAACCTTAAGTTTCTGAAGCTGCTGTCTCTGTGTCATTTCCTGGAGCTGTCTGCCCATTGCCCTCTAAGAGCCCTCTTCAAGGCCCAGCCGCCAGGATAGGTAGGTTGGGCACGGAAGGACTGAGGCCAGACTGACAGGTGGGGGCTGGACTAGATGAGACAGTGTGCTGGGAACTGGACTTGGGGGGGGCAGGTCTGGGGCACCCCGCTTGGGGCTTAGCCGGTTCCCAGGAGAGCTAGTGTGGGAAGCAGCCTAGGAACGGGTTTCCCCAGGTGTCAGCGCCAGAGCTGCTTTCCCATGACCTCACCAGGTGGGTGTTGCCCCGCCCCTCTGCCCCTCCTTTCTAGAGCACCTTGCTCAGCGCTAGGGCTCTGGGGCGATGCTGGGCCCTCTGAACCTTCCTGCTCTGAACCTTCCAACTGTCCACAGGGTCTTGTGGGGTTGGGGGGCACAGCTGGTGCAGAGCCCAAGCATGAAGGGACCCCGTACAGCCTAAACCTCAACCACTGGCCAAACTCCTGGGTCAAGTTGGTTGGACCTCGTGTTTGGTCTTGGCATTCAAAGTCCACATAAGGACTGACCGAAGGTCAAGGTGCCGGTTGTCAATAATTTAAATAGAAGTTTGGTCCCAGAAATCCTGTGGAGTGAGGGTTTGTTGGGTGACGACTTGGAGAGCAACAGGGAGAGAACATTCCCTGGAATTGGAACTGGAAGGAACTTTAAAGGGCACCTTGGCGGGGGGAAACACACTTTATTTTACCCATAAGGAAAGTGAGCCCCAGAGAAAAAAGGTAGTATCTCAAGTGAGGTATTATTACCAAGTAGCTGTAAGAGCACTTAGTGAACTCTAGAGTTCTGTATATACGTGGGTAAATGTTATTCTTTTGGAGAGGTATTTCTAAGGCACACCTGGGACACCTGCTAGGCAACTGCTGGGCCAGGTGAGTGCGAACCCTGTCCCAGCCCAGCTGCCTCTCCAGGAAGTAACAGCTGCCTGGGTATGAGAAAGAGCAGGGCTGAGGGACAGAAATCCTAGCCAAGCGAAACCTGAGATAATCCCCAAATTTAGTTTTAGCCAAGACGGTCCAGCTCCTGTCCCACCAGGGCCCATCCCCTAGAGCTCTAGCCATTTCGTCTCCCTTTGTTCCCTTGCCCCTGAGGTGGAGGGGCTGGAGCTGCACCATTGCAGCCAGGGCCCGGGGGGGTGGGGGGGGTGTCTCCCACCCCAGCTCCATAGCCTCTTTTACCTCAACCCAGCCCAACACACTACCCACCCACCCCACCCCCGCCCCCGGGGGAGCAGAGACCTGGGTTCAAGTTCAGACTCTGATATCAACCATGACCTTAGGCAAATCATTTCCCTTCGGTGTGCCTCAGTTTCCTCATTTGCAAAACAAAAGACTCAGGATGTTGGATTAGAGGTTGTCAAACTGCTTCAGGGGGCCTTAGAGGTCCTATGAGTAGGGGGCGGAAATCTAAAGGTCATCTCTGAGGCTCCCCACCTCCTGCTTCTTCCCTGATTCTCTGGTGGCCCCAGCACATCCGTGTCACTATGTCTCCTCTTCTGCTGGGTCACCAAGCCTGGTCAGCACCTCTCTTAGCCTTGCCCTCCCCATCCCTGCCCCTGCTGTGCTCCATCCACTTCCCGCGGAACTGCTGCCTTCCCCTCTGGCATCTCTCCGACTCAGGACTGTTAACAGCTCTCTGGGCCAGTGGTGAACTCCCAGGCCCTCATTTTAGCATTCAAGGCCTTCTCAAATCCCACATCAAATTGGACCAGGCCAGCTGGTTCCAGTGATCCCACTCCCTGATCCCTGATTATTTTTTTACTTCTGACTCCCAAGTCTTTGCTTTTGCCAAATCCTCTAGTTTGCAAAGTACCCCCCCCGCCCCTGCCACCCATGCCGTTTCTCTTCTAACCATCTGTCAGTACTCATCTTTTCCAGAAAGTGTCTCTTACTTGTATTAGCGTCCACACTGCTCTCTTGGTACTTGGAGGGCACTCTGCATTTGGTCACTTACTCAGATTGCATCTCCCAGCGAAGTAGAAAGTCCCCTTCATGCCCCTGTGCTCCTGCAGGGGCTTGGGCTCAGGCAATATTTGTAGCTGGCCCTTAAGTGCTTAAGATAAAAATCCGGGCGCCTGGGTGGCTCAGTTGGTTAAGCGACTGCCTCCGGCTCAGGTCATGATCCCGGAGTCCCGGCATGGAGTCCCGCATCGGGGTCTCTGCTCAGCAGGGAGTCTGCTTCTCCAGCTAACCCTACCCCCTCTTGGGCTCTCTCTCTCTCACTCTCTCAAATAAATAAATAAATAAATAATCTTTTTTTAAAAAGATTTATTTATTTTTCAACAGAGAAAGAGAGAGAGACAGCGAGAAAGGGAACACAAGCAGGGGGAGTGGGAGAGGGAGAAGCAGGCTTCCCGCTGAGCAGGGAGCCCGATGCGGGACTCGATCCCAGGACCCCGGGATCATGACCCGAGCCGAAGGCAGACGCTTAACGACTGAGCCACCCAGGCGCCCAATAAATAAATAATCTTAAAAAAAAAAAAAGATAAAAATCCAACCAGTGAGCCCTGGAGGGGACCCTGAGGGTCAAGTTCAGCTCCAGATATGTGCCATGGAAGCCTGGAGATAGGCCTAAGAGCAATGGCTTGCTGGAATGGCCCTTGGACAGGTAGGGACCAAGCCTATGCAGGACAGGTGGGATTTACCTCTGGTTCCCAACCCACTGACCTGCTCTGCTTTTGTTTCTCTTTATAATATCTATTTTATTTCTTTCCTTCCTTTGCCTTCTTCTCCCCCTCTCTCCATTCTCTCTCTCTCTTTTTTTTTGGGGGGGGGGAAGATTTTACTTATTTATTTGACAGAGACACAGCGAGAGAGGGAACACAAGCAGGGGGAGTGGGAGAGGGAGAAGCAGGCTCCCTGCTCAGCAGGGAGCTGGATGCGGGGCTCGATCCCAGGACCCTGGGATCATGACCTGAGCCGAAGGCAGACGCTTAATGACTGAGCCACCCAGGTGCCCCCTTTAGCTGATTTTTTAAATGTTTTATTTTTCCCATAATAAATACTCATAGAAAAATTAGAAAATCTGAAGAACTAGAAGATTAAAAATTTAGTAATAGTCTTAACTCCCATAGATAATCAATAGTAATATTTTGATGTACTTCCTTCCAGCCTGTTCTATGCATAATTTTGAAAAATTTTTTGTGATCATGCTATATATACATTTTTTTTTTCATTTAAAATTTTAACAGGGGTGCCTGGCTGGCTCAGTTGGTAGAGCATGCAACCCTTGATCTTTGGATTGTGAGCACCACGTAGGGTATAGTGATCACTTTAAAAAAAAAAATGAAATCTCTAAGGGGCGCCTGGGTGGCTCAGTCGGTTAATCTGGCTCAGATGATGATCCCAGGGTCCTGGGATCGAGACCCTCATCCACCTCCACAGTCAGTGGGGAGTTTGCTTGTCTTTCTCCTTCTGCCCCTCCCCGCGCTCATGTGCTCTCTCTCTCTCCCTAAAACAAATCTTTTTAAAAAAGTAAAATTTTTAAAAATAAATAATAAATTTAAAATACTTTAAAAATATTATTAGTATTTTTTTAAGATTGTATTTATTTATCCGATAGAGAGAGACAGTGAGAGAACACAAGCAGGGGGAGTGGGGGAGGGAGAAGCAGGCCTCCCTCGGAGCGGGGATCCTGATGTGGGACTTGATCCCAGGACCCTGGGATCATGACCTGAGCCGAAGGCAGACGCTTAATGACTGAGCCACCCAGGTGCCCCTATTAGTAGTATTTTTATTTTTTTTATTTTTTATTTTTTTAGTAGTATTTTTAAAAATATTATTTATTTAGAGAGAAAGAGAGAGAGTGCCCATGAGTGGCAGAAGGAGAGAGAATCTCAGGCAGACTCCACGCTGATCTTGGAGCCAGACACGGGGCTTGATCTCATGACCCCAAGATCATGACCTGAGCTGAAATCAAGAGTCAGTTGCTCAACTGACTGAGCCACCCAGACACCTCTATTACTATTTTTTAAGTAGGCTCCATGCCTAATGTGGGCCTGGAACTCATGACTCCGAGACCAAGAGTTGCCTGCTCCACTGACTGAGCCAGCCAGGTGCCCCAATAAATAAAATTTAACAGTGTTTTTCATGTCATTATAAACTCTGACCAGAGGCTCTAACCGTATGTATATATTTGCTTACTATTTCACCCTGACCATAATTTCTTCAACTAGATCCCAATTTGGAGCATGGAGGTTGTTCTCCTTTAACTTTTTTTTTATTATTATAAATGATAACTACATCAGCATTTGGTTAATTTTTCCACCATGGGTTGATGACCATCTACAGAAAAACAGTTCTTCATGTTTGGTTTGGAGACTGGACCCCATATAATCCCAAGTGGCTCTTTGGAGAGGGCTTGGGTTTCTGCGTATGTATGACTTGTGTTGTGGGGGGCGGTCCTCTTTCTGGCGGAGCATGACTAGCAGATTGTGGGTGTGCAATAAAT